AGCTTTTCTCTTTTGTTGTGAAGTTCAGGTGGTAAATCAATACACTGGGATCTTATTGACTGTAGCTCCAGTGATTGTTACTGTCTGGGCGTTGTCCTGTCATTTCTCATTCGTTGCTCTGTCTCTTTCTGCACCAGTCTTCCAGGCTGCAGGAGTAATTTCTAAGATGCACGTACAATTCCCATTGCACTTTTTCTTATGTTCTCCTCTCCTTCCTCGGTTCCTCAGAAAAGAAAATAAAATTTTAAAAAACTAAGTAAGCCTTTCATAATGTTCCTACTACCTATTAACATACCAGATCAAAATGCCTTTGGGGAGTTATGCTGAATCAAACGTCTTGTGAGAACTGGTGACACATTAACCACTTTTGCTTTCAAAAGTGGAAGAAAGTTTCTTTTTTTTTCTTTTGAGTGCTGATAAAATCTGTACCATATCAGTTTTAATTGTGTGGAGGTCATGTACCAAGGTGTAAGAAGAAAGCTGTTCTGGGAAACCTTTTACAGCGCCTGGGGATGATCTTTATATTGCTGTGCTTGGAAAGCCAGAGCCAACGTTGGCAAGCATTGGTACCTGAAGGCGGGTACAGGACCCATAGAAAGAGCGGGTGGTTCTCCAGTACCTGGAGTTCTGTTTTCCAGTACCTCAGTGGGAATTCTTGCATAGATTTTAGTTTTCATAGGTCGTTTGGTTTTTTTTCCCAAAGTGTGGAATATGCAGTGAGTTTGGTAATAGCGTTCAGGACCTCTCACGGTGTTACCGCTTTTGGTGCTCCACTTTCTGCATCTACGTTTGTTGAAGCAGCTGCTTTGATTTGGGTAGGGGTGGGGATGCTGCACTTCTGCAGGGAAGATACAAGACTTTGACAACGCCAACCATAGTAATGAGGCATCTCAAGGCATCAAATGAGGCGTCAAATTCAAGTAAAGTTCTTCATTTTCGGGCAGCTTTATGAAGTGTGGCTGCTATAAAATCCATTAAGTTCTTTTGACTTTAATGGAGCTCTGTGAATTTGTAGTTAAAAGGTTTGACTTCATTCATTCAAAAAACAGAGACTCTGTTTTACACCTTCAGTATTAGAGACAAGACACTAGCCCTGCAGAGAAGGTTATGTGCAGAATGTGAGGTAATTTTTGATACTCTTTCTGTTCATATCAAATTATAATGTAAAAATAAATTTTTAAAAAATCTTTTTGGCAGGTAGTTTAGGCCTAAAGCACAGTAACACAATCTGATAATCCTCCTTTTAACTAAGAAATAAAGGACCTTCTCCTTTTGGTCAGAACAAGCAGACATCTTTCAAATACATGGAGAGCCTGCACTTTAATATGAGCCTTTGTCTTAAATCAGAATAAACAGATAGATGTAATAATTGGGTAGTTGTGGGCCATACCAAGCCCCCCATTCCCTTACATTTCTTGACACCAAGAAAGAATAACACCTTCTTCCAGAATAAGATAAGGCTACATCTGGAGTGCTTAGCCCAACTTGGGGCTCCCCAGTGGAAGAGACACCTCCATACCAGAGGGACAGGAGTCCGGTGGAGGGCCAGCGTGATGGGGATGGGGCACAGGGTGTGCGAGTTCAGACCCAGAGAGCTGGGTTTGTTTTGGCTTAGGAAATTAGAGCAAGGAGGAGATTTTATTCCTATCTTCACCTACCTTATGGTAGAGTCTAAACAAAATACAGCTTTTGAAAGGATTCACAGGGACCGGACAAGAGGTAACAGACCCAAGTTACATGGAAAATTCCAATTGGAGATACAGAATGGTTTTTTTTGTCATGGGGATAGTCAAGTGTTGGAAAAAGGTGTCTGGTGAGGCTGTGGATGGCTGTGCATCTTCATCCCTGGAGATGCTCAGGAGGTGACTGGGCACAGCTCTGCACGGCTTCATTGCGTTGACTGTGCTTTTAGCAAGGTGTCGGACCAGATGGTCCCCAGAGGTCATTGACAACCTCTGTGTTTGTGATTCTAAGAGATTCTGTCTTCCAGCAGCCAGAGCTGGACTATTCTTTAAGACCAAAGTTATATATGTACATGTTAGAACCAGGTAGATGAATTAAAATCTATGAAGTTAGAGTTCTCTTGGAAAACCAACAATGTTAGTCCAATGAATTCTCTGTAATTTCTTCTACCTGAGATGTTTATTAATTAGGAAGTGACATTAATACTGAAATTAAAGCTGCTCAGTGAGGACTTGGTAATCCAGCCTGACTAAAAGGCAAAATACTTGACTGTATCAAACTTGCAGTTGATGTTACCAAGGAAAGATTACCTGCAAATCTTTTTTTTTTTTTTTTTTTTTTATCTTCATCCTGGGAGCTGCTGCAGGCCAAGAGCAGTTAGCTTGCTGGAGCATGTTAACAGGAGCAACCTGCCTGCTCGTGTGTTTTACTTCATCTTGTCTGTGCCAGAACAGCAGCTGAGTGTCCCCCTTGCAGACAGATGGACAGTGTAGGCACCACGGGAGGGGACACAGACAGGCTGGCTGTCAAAGTGGTTTGTTCAGTTTCTGGGGTAGGTTGTGCTAATTTGTAGGTTGTTTGGTCTAAAGATGTTATTTGCAAAGCCGTGAACTTTAAAGCTGTTTCGGAATGTGTCACGGTTCCAAGGAGACTGCTGTCCTTTGGGTCTTCCTACAACTTTCTTGGTGTTTTTTGAAGGCCTGGCCTCCTCCTCTGCTGTCTCCTGCCCCCACGGCAGCGGGTCCAGGTTCTCTGTAACTGGTGGCCAGATCCCATCCTAAACCAAACCCTTCCCCAGCAGTTCTGGGGGACGGCACAGAGGCATTGCGTGCGCGGGTGGGTGCCGGGGGAGTGGGGAAGGTGCTCTGTGGGATGGTTTGGGAGCGGTCTGGTCACACGCGAGCTGCGGGAAGGATGCGAGTACACTTTGTGTGGTTGTAGACGCTGAAGGTGCTGAGCCCTCGCATCTCGACTGGATGTGAGGAATGCAGGGTTTTGGGTAAGCCAGAAGGCACGTGCCTGGGATGGAGCGGCACTTTGAGGTCCCTGCTCTGAATGCTGGAGCATGAGGGGATTTCAGATGAAGCCAGCAGAAATTTAACCTGGGCGGAAGAACATTCCTTGCCCTTTCCTAGAAGTAACTGAAGTGCTATTTTTGAAGTTCTTCCAAAAGCTTTCATGCTTTAGACAGGAACAAGCTCAGAATAGATAAGCATAAACAATTAAGGTTTGGCAGAATTATAAGCTGGCAGAATTGGGGTCCTGTGGCAGGAAATGCTGATCACTGTTTGTAACGGGTACGAGTCCTTCCTTTGGTCTAGAAATTGCCTGATGTGACCCAGGCTATGCCAGGGAATTTCACAGGGAGACAGCGGTGTTCACATCCGCATTTTGGAAAAGCTGTGCTTTATGGATGAGCAAAAAAAGTGCCCCACGGCCATATAAAATATAGCATAGTGTCTGTGCATCTTTGCAGAGTGATATGTGTTGTCCTGTTTCAGTTAATGCTGTGCAGCAGGCGGAACGTAAGTGTAAAAAATAAGCAAGCTGCAGCAAGGCTGGTTTGCAAAGCCGTACGGCAGGTCAGTGCTGGATGGTAATGGTATGGAAATCAGCCTGGATCACAAGTGTGGGTGAGTTCTGTGACTCAAAACCCGGCAGTAATAGGATCCAGTGTTAGGGTCAGGCAGGTGTGACGATACTAAGTGCTGAAGATTTGAAAATAAACTGTAATTTAAGACTAGCAGAACAAAATGCAATGAGTTCTGTAGACAGTGTAATTGTACTCGTGGAGAAAGGTATTTTCCTCTTCTTGACCTGCTGCCCTCCATTCGATCACAGAAATCCATAGGTTAAAGGTTTGGTTTTGATTTTCCAGGCAGTGAAGAAGCTCTGATAAGGCTTTGCAGCTATTAAACTTTCATAGGTTTGCAGCCTTGTGGTTGAAGCTAAAGAGACAGTAACTGGTTTTTTCCCTTGGGGATGGGACTTCAATTAAGTCAGGGTTGCTCAGTATTAGAATTCCAGCCTTGCAGGATGCTAAGTGTGTGGAGTTTGTGTTACAGGGAGCAGGACCTTTGCCTGAGCCTGACAAGTTTCCAGAATTACTCTCTCTCCTTTACCCATCTTTGCAAAACTCAGATTCATTTAAAGCTCTGATGGCCCTGGTTCTAAAGTCTGTGCAACCGCTGTGCTGACCCCGCTGCAGACCTGTCCAGCATCCTAACAAAAACCAGAGCCCGTGGATTTTCAGCAGTGTTTGGCGTTGCCAACAGTTCCTCTCCCTGAAGTCAATCAGAGCTGAGGGCTTTAGAGAATCTACCTGAAATCCCCGTGTTAAAAGCTTTTTATCCACTCCTTTGAGCTTTTTACTGCCGGGTTTTAGGCAGTTCCACGGTTTATGAGGAGCAAAAGAGATGGAATGACTTGTTTTGATGCCTTCAGTACAAGGCAGCCCCTTCCCGTTGAAACCCGTGGGTGATTTGTGTCGCTCCCCAAAACTGCTAACCTGGTATTCCAGCGTTCTGGTGTGCCTTCCACTTCTCCTGCCGTTCCCCTTGCAAGGAGCTGTGACTTCACGGGCTATGGCCCAGGCTACCTTCTCTTGCGATGAGAAGTCTGAGCCGTGGGTTTTGCTGGTATCTTGTTAATTGGAAAGATCTGATAGGGGAAAAAAAACCAGAAAACCTATCCTGGGAAGAGTCTGAAGAGTTCCTGTCACATAGAGCACTGGTGTGCTGGGGGAACAGATCCTTGTGGGGTTTTGTGCTGTTCTGCTGAAATCAGTGATATGAACGAGCCGTACATATGCCCAGATCCTGTTGTGTTTCCTGACCAGTCCTTGACCTGCTTTGTCCCTTGCTGCAGGCCGTGTGCTGTAACACAGCCGCTTGGCATCTTGCTGCTTGTACAACTCCCACTCCCCACTCTGCATGATCTGCTGAATGTACTTTTTTTGTGCATCCAGGAGAAGCTGAAATTAGATGTTGATGGTTTTTGCTTTTTGTTTTTTCCCCTGTCCTTTCTTCTCTTTACAGTTTTTTATCATGCTGTTAATTATATTTCTGTTGGAGCTCACCGTCGTGATTCTGTTCTTCGTCTACACCGACAAGGTAAGCCAGATTCTTCATTTTTTTCTTTCCCTTCAGCAAATTTTTATCCCCTTTTCCCTATAAATAAATCATGAAGCACTTGGCTTGGTATGCACATCGTGCTTCTGTCTTCCCTGAGACACCCCTCTCAGGAGGAGCTCTCTCAGAATGCTTAAACAGCCTTGCAGGACCAGGCTCTCTTGCTTGCTCATGTGTACAGCTCAAGGTCACAGATACTGCCAAGTGCATCTGCCATTTAAAAAAAAACCCTCTCCAATAAAAAAAAAAAAAAAAAAAAAAAGGCAAAGAAGCCAACAAGCCTTACCAGGAGCATGTTGGAAGAGACACCCGTCAGAACGAACAGGGTTTTTACAAAATATGTTTACAATTTAAGAGCCATGTTAATGTTGTTACAAAGGAGATGTCCTTAGCACAGGCAAAGGCACACAATTCATTCACTTTCCAAGTTGCTTAGATTCTAGTGGAAAGCCAAGGTAAGTGCATAAAAGTTTAATGAACAAAGCTTTTGTTTGTGGTTTCAAATTTTACGTATGTTTGACCTTTGTTCCTGGAGCTCACTTGGTATTTCTGTTGTAAGGGCAAGATTGCCTGTCTGAATTATCTTTATCCTTAAAATAATTTTTCTAAAAAAAACCATATTACATGAGTAAACCCAAAACAGGGGCACGGTTGTGTGTAACCTCCCCATTCAATTAAAATTGTCAGACAAAGTCTCTTACAACTGGGGACTAAGGGGCCTTGAAAATCACAGGGTAGGTGGCAAAATTTTGCCATGAATTAACAGCCATCAGGTACATGACCAGGGAACAGCTTCTTCTGGGATGGAAAGATAAAATAGCAAAAAAATAAATAATTTAAAATAACTACACAAAATATCGAAATAAAATGAAGGTTAAAGGTAGATCTAGTTATACTCAGTATGTTTAGCGATAACCTGAATGAGGAGTGGGTAAGGTCAACATGACTTTCTAGAAAGGCTCCGAATTCATTAACGAACACTGTGAGTGACGGTCAGGTGTGCTTCTGGAGGACGGAAAGAGCTAGGCTGCCGGACGCATGCTGGAGCTGGAACGTGGAATTAACTTGGGAGGTAAATAAAGTAGAAGGGGCAATTTAAAATGACTTGAATGCGTTATTGGATTCTGAATTGCCTCTAACCTCCTGAGAGAAAGATCTACACGTCATAGATGACAGCTTAATAAAGGCGTCTACTTCATATGCAGTGGGGCTCCAAAACCCAAACACAACACCGTGTGCATATTTAGGAAGGGAATCAGTTAGAAAATATTATCGTGTCGTTGTATCAATTGACAGACTTGCCTCGCTGTGAATTTAATATTGAGTTTTGGTTATTTTGTTTTCATGAAGGGTAACAGAAACGATCAGAAGCGTTAGGAAGGTGGGAGAGAGCAGAGGGATTGTGGAGACTACCCCAATTCAGTTGGGGAAAAGAAAGAGATCCTCTGCTTAAGAGATCTTGGGGAGAGAAATTACAAAAGTTTTTAAATAATGACGTACTAAAGACCTGTCCTGAACACAGAAGAAATACTTGAAAATATTAAGGAGTAAGTTTAAAAGATAAATGTTTCTTACGCTCCACATTATCATCTTGTAGAATTCTCTGTTGTTGGCTGGATAGTTCAATGAATGTGTGGCTATGGAGGGGAAAGAAACAAACAAACAAAACCCCCCTTTTTCTTCATAAAGCAATCGGCGCTGTTATGTTGACATGTGTGTCCCAGAGAATGTTGGTCCTCACTCTTCAGAGGTAAAAGTAGTGAAAAAGCGTCAGGAAGGATTCCCTCCCTCCTTCAGGCTGTTGGTTTGCGGGGTTTTTTATTTGTTCTGAATGAAGAGATCAGGAAATTTAACTTCCCTCTGAGTCCCGTAGCATAGGTTGATGCAGGAGGTAAGCTGCAGTTGTCTGTGCGATCAAAACAGCGTCTAAAATACACGCTCCAAGTGCAGTTTTACTAAGTTAAGAAATTGCTGTAGTGTCTGTACTGCCGATGATCAAATTTGAGGTTCTTAATGTTCCTGTGTGACTTTAAATCCATGGTCTTACACCGAGCAAATCAATAGTTTGTCTCTGTGTTACACTTACAGTCCTGCCGATGGAATGAACAAAACAGCAGCAGCCTAAACTCGGGGTTTCGTACAGCGTGCTTAGAATTTGTGTGCTGTGCTGCCTTTCCTGATGTGAAGAACAGTATTGCCACGCGTACTGGTACGGGGAGATAGGTAACCCAGGCAAGTCCACCACAGTCACTGGGTTAATGCAGCTCCTTGGAAAATCCATGAGGGAGCAAGCTCTGCCAACAGTCGCACATCAGAAGGAAGTAACGTTAATTTTGTGGGCAAAAGCAGAAAAGGACTCTGCAGATTAAGACTTTGAGGGCTCCTGTATAATTTTATATATATGTAGATATTTTTATAAAATCAGCAGCTTTTTCAAGTACCTGGCAGCCTTCTGTTAATTAAAGTCTATGTACATGTCAAATTCTGCCCAGGATAAAATGGGGCCAATCATTATTTTCTGTTTCTGGCTTGAGAAGTGGGTTGAATGATGGATTCCTTGGCAGCTTCCATTGACTCCTGCTTTGACAAGTGGAAGGACTATGGAGTGGGTAGTTCATCCCTTTTGCAGAGTTTGATCAATGCTCTCCCCTTCCCACGAAGCAGGGCAGTGTTATCGTCCTGTCGAGGTGGAGAGGCAGGAGCTGAGAGTGCCCACGACTCCGCAGGCAGCTGGGGCCAGTTCTAACTTTCAAGCTCTTGATGTTCTGGCTGCCGGCGAGGGATCTGGGAGACTGAGCTGTGCCGACGGCAGGGCTGGGCATTGCAGCTGGCTGCATAGCGCTTGCCCAGGGAATGACGTCCGCTCTGTGCCTTCTGCTGCAGAAGCTGGTGCTTGGACACGATACCAGCCGCAGGGTGAGGCTGCACCCAAGTGCACGTGGACACAGCGCGTGGGCTCCCGAGGCGTGGAGCGCTGGCTCTCTGTATCCGTTGCTGGGACTGTTGCTTTAGTAGAGTATTCGCTAATAAAAAGCATCAAGACAAAAATTCTTTACAGCCATTCACAGAGAGGTTTTTGGCACAACGCTTTGACTCTTTTGCTGTGGGAGAGCGTGCAGCTGTGGAGGTGCACAGGGCAGGTGCTGGGGCTCCAGGCAGCCCAGACTGGTCCGTTCCCATTCACCAGCTTGCCTCTGCCTCTTGTTCTGTCACTTGGCACCAGCCTCTCGGAGCTTTGAAGCAGCCAGTGTGCTCCCGTGCCCTAGAACGTCATCTTCCCTTTTCTTGGTTGTCTTCATCTCATGAGATAAATGCTGCTCTGGACTTTGCAGCTCTTTGCACGTGTTCGTAAGCAAGTTCCCAAAATGTAGCTTTTTATTTTTTTGAGGGCAGAAATATCAGCCCAAGAGACATGGGTATTGAGCAGAGTTTGTGTGATTAGGAGAACTAGGGCAGGCTTTATTTTGTTTTATTTTGGTCTTTTTATAAGTTGGTAATTTCTATGTGAGGCTCTGTATGTATTTACAAGAGATACACGGAGTATTGATAGGGTTAACCTGAATTTTATTGTGATAAAGGGAAAGCAGCAGGGCCCTATCCTGTCAGAGGCTGGATTCTCCATATATTTTGCAACGCCAGACTGATCCCTGTTAGAATATAAATTATGCTAATAAAATGCATAGTCTTATACCAGTTCTAACTTGTGTAATCCTTCTGGTTTTAGCATCTGTATTTATTTTTACTGTGATGGTTCTCCTGGAGGCATAGGAAAAAAAATCCATATTTACTTTTTTGCAGCTGCAATACATGAATTTTTTCAGTAGGTTTGTTTTTCAGATATCTGCATTTTTTTCTGATTTATGGGCAGAACTGTGGTGCTGCTATTTAATGCCTGCAAATGGAAAAAAATAACTAAACCACCACAATGTGCTTTTAAAAAAAAATTTATTTTTGAAATGTCAAACGGAGTAACATAAGCCAGGTTAAGGAACAAAAGCACCGAAGGATCACTGGCTGTGATATTTGATTATGGGAGCAGTTACTGCTACTGGCAACTCAAAGTTAAGACCAGAATTTTCAATAAAGATTAGGGTATTAAATTGCTTGGGATCCCAGTGAAAAGTCCAGCCTGAATTCCATGCCTGGTTAGCTGTGTTGCAAATGGCCCAGAGGATGGTAGAGAACTGAAAAATAACGGGTCCTTCTGCTTTTCATGAGGTGTGTGAGGATGCTCTTGTTCTCCATGTCCCAGTAAATGGTAATGAGCTCCTTATAGCTTTTACGCCTAGCTCATAAAATATACGGTCTGTAGATTGATGCATTTCTTGGTTTGTTTCTCAAAACACTTCACAAATTATTGTAGTTCCCGATGGATGTTTTGCCTGGTCCTGTACAGATTACAGACAGCAGGCTGGAAAGCAGTGGGTGTGATTTAGAGGGCAGCTGTCCTCGTGACTTCTTTCACATTTGGCTCTGAAGACCAAGTAGAAAAACTGAATTTCTTCCACCTTCTGCACTCATGAGCAGTTCTTCACAGCAGTGGTCTGGTGCTGCGGAGCTGCTTGCCAGTGTGAGGAAGAGGTTAATGATCAAACTGAAGAAATTACTCAAGGCAAGGCTGGTTCCAGGCCAGGCTGGATGAGGCTTTGGGCAACCTGGGCTGGTGGGAGGTGTCCCTGCCCATGGCAGGGGGTGGCACTGGATGGGCTTTAAGGTCCCTTCCAACCCAAACCAGTCTGTGATTCTGTGATTCATAATGTTCAGACGTACTGCAGAAACTGGTGTTCTCGTGAGCTGCTGTCCAGAGAGCTTCCGTGCTTGTCTTTGGCAGAGCTGTGGCAGAGCAGGATGTGTGCTCAGGTACAAGACGTGGTGTTCCCGGTCAGCCTGGCACGCAGGGCTGTGCAAGGCATGCAAAAAGAAGATGATAAACTTTTTAAGGATGGGGAAATGCAGGCTGAAGTGAAGGCACAAGGTCATTT